AAACAGAACAAAAGATGCCCATCCCCAAGACCCAGAAAAACAATCTCCAATGTGCCACAAAATGGGGAAACAGAAACGTTATGCCTATTAAATATGTATCCATCATTTGTGGCGATAATTTGTGCGCCTTAAAAGGAAATTAATTAGTTTTTAATTAAAGAATGGAAGGTTTATTCAATTAAATTTGTGCCATTTGACTAAGTAAATCTTTAAGTAATCGCCGGCAATTGGTGGCATTTTTCACCCTCCCCCTGTTTTGAGTGCTGGAGCTGTTGCGATAATTATGGAGACCAGCCCCTTATTTGGGCGGTGTTGGACAATGCAGGAATTGTTGGCCTAGTTTCGAGCAAGTGCCTGCTGCCATTGCGTTTCTGTTTAATCAAAACCCGAACGAAACGCAATTAAATGTGCGCATCGTCACGTCACGTCGCCTCGTCCAGTTGCCACTTGGGGAGAGGCAATCCAAGACAATGGCCAGAACCCCCCCAGAGCCCCTCCAGAGCCCCTCCTCGAAATGTAGCACTAATGAGGCACACGCCACACACACTCGTACAGCTGCAGCTGCAGCTACTGCTTACACGCCCGCTGCCTGCACAATTGTCAACAGCAAAACAATATACAAATAAATTGTATTTTATTTCACTTAAGTTGGAAAAGCAGCCACGTCGAGCCACGTCTTTTGGCAGCTACAGCAGCCAGACAGACAGACAGCCAGACAGCCAGACTGAAAGGATATATCCGATAACACAGATACCCCCTAGACAGACACTCCCTCAACCGATTCATCAGAGTGTTCATCAAGAGTTCTTGAGAGGCCAAGAAAAAATCAAAATAATTTAAAAAAAAAATATTGAGAGCACAACAAAATATTGATAAAAACATTCTAATAATAATAAATATAAACCACTAAAAATTTCAAAATTTAACATATATTACAATCAAACATGAACGTGAAAATACTAATTACAAAAATAATAAAAAAAATTATTAATAATAAAAAACAACAAAAACTAGATATATTACAATAAAACGTAAAAATAATAATAATAAATATAATAAAAAAATAAATTACAATCGATATAATACAAAAAGAAATCATAGTAAATATAATAAAAAAAAAAAAAATAACAAAAAAATATAATAAAAATACCATAAAATTAATAACAAAGAAAAAAAACTATATTACAATAAAACGTAAAAATAATAATAATATATGTATATAAAAAAAAAAATATAAAAAAATGGCAATACAATTTTTTTTGTTTTTTAAATAAATATGCCAAATTATTAAAAATTTAATTAAAATATATGAAATTATATTAAATGAATAATATTATTATTATATTTATTAATTGTAACCTTATTTTTTTTTTACAAAATTTAATAAAAATTGTAGTGAAAAATATTTTACAACAGAAGTGGAAAAACAAAAGAATGAAAAACTTTCAAACATCCAAAAATTCGTAAACGTCTTACCAAAAATACAATCAGCTCTGATTTATTGCCAGAGAGTGTGTATTTTGCTATGGGATTCTGGATAGCCGCTGAGAAGCCACGAGGCAGACGAAGTATGGATGAAAAGGGGATGCCATAGAACAGATTTTTGGTTACATCTACTTCTGCAAGTCGCATAGACTCCTGTTGGCTCGTATGAAAGCGAAACCCAAAAAAACGAAACGAAGACATTGCCAGACGCAGCGCGAGGGGGCGCCCAGGCCCAGGCCCAGGCGTCCAGGTAACCATCGCCACTGACAATGCCACGTCGTCGTCGCCCCATCGTTGTCGTTGTCGTAGTTGCATTTCGTGGCTGTTGCATTAAAACAATGGAGGCGGCCAGAACAATGCCAGAAAGACGGTGCAGCGGTGCCAGCAGCATTCACAAAAGCCAAAGAAGAACAACGACAGCACCAATGTAGCCAGTCGCTGCTCGCATCGGGCACGCACTCGAAGGTATGGATGGTGGAGAACACATTTAACAGATTTCTCTTGAAGTGTACGAGTATGCGGGACTTTAATGCTTCGCTTCGGCTCGGAGATTTGCCCCAGGCGAGTGCAAAGAACAACTGACGAATATCATCCACAGCATCCACAGTTCAAGCAATCATATCGTATTTTCATATGGGACTGTCCAGAGCATCCAATCATCCTTCAGAATAGCAAGGATTTCTCATAAAAAACAGCGATCCTCCATATCTCTTGGGGATTTTAGGAAGCTGTTAAAAATCGTTCGGTTCTCCTCCTTCCTGTGATAAAAAAAAATTTGTATAACTTTTTAAACTTTTAATTTGTATAATAACAATTTAAAAAAAAAATCATTGCTCAATTTTTAAGTTAAAAATCACAAATAAATTTTAAAAATAAAAATCAGAAATTAATTTTTAAAATAATATTCTGAAATTTATTTTTCTTTTCAATAAAAATAATAAAAAATGACTTTTTTTAATTTTAATCAAAAATAAATGTTAAAATTATTGTTTTGACATTTAATTTGTATAATAAAAATTTCAAATTAAAATCATAGTTAAATTTTTCAAATAAAATTCAGAATTTTTTTTTCTTTTCAATATTTATTAAAAAAAAAGACTTTATTTTTAATTTTAATAAAAAATAAATATTAATATTATTATATTGACGTTTAATTTTTATAATAAAAATTTTTAAAAGAAACATCATCGCTCAATTTTTAAAAGAAAATTATGAAATTTATTTTTCTTAATAAATACAACCAAAAAAAATTTTGATGTTTTTTTAAATTTTCATAAAAAATGAAAAATAAATGTAATTATTATTATTAATCATTAATCAAATTATAATCCCTAAGATCAGTGGCTTCATTCTCGTTTTCCCCCGCAAAATATCGCGCATCATGCGGCAGCGCCCATCGGTCGGCTTGCGATCCAAGCTTTAGCCAATTTTCAAGAGCTGATTTCCATGGTGCTGCAGAGCAGGAGAGCGCAGGTCTTCATTCAATGTGTTAGCTCGTCTTAATCTCACCTCAGAAATTCGTAGACAAGACCCTCCTTGCGGCCCCAGGCGATGGTGTGGCATCCACGGCCGCTGCCTGCCTCCATTTGTGATATTGTTGCACTTTTGTGTCCGCAATGCAACAGAGTTGCCACAGCTCTCTCTATATATTTTTGAGTGCAATTTTTTAATGACAACTTTGGGGGGGGGGGGGGGGGGGGGGGGGGGGGGGGGGCGGCGGTGCGGGTGTGCAGGATGGCCGAAAATCAACTTGATGCTGCTCGACGATGCGCGAAGCGAGCAGAGCGATGTGAGTGCCAAGGGCTTAGGACGAAGGAAAAGCGTTCAGGTGGAGCAGCCATAAGAGATTTTTCCAGCACCACCAAAGGAATTCGAATCATGGGCAAAAGCGCCAAAGGCAAAAGTCAGCAAAGTGCAATGCGCAGCGAAAGCAGAGAAAGTGGGAAAGAGTGGGCAACAGAGTGAGAGGGGGTGGGTAGGGGGGGTGGCGGGGTGCTGCTGCTGACACACTGGCCGAGTTCGAAGGAATGCCGAGCAGCAGCAGCACTGCGGCTGCCATCTTAATTTGCATGCATTTGCTGTCTCCGCGAGTGCGTGTCGCCTCCCCCCTTCCCCCTCCCCCTCCCCTCCCCTCCACCCCCCACTCCTCTGCCGTGTGTGAGTACGTGTCCGTGTGTAATTTATTTGTTGGCGACGCCGTCGCCGTTGCCGCGAGTCGCACCAAATTCCCTTGAACTTGTCCGGCGGCAGAGCAACGAAGACGCCACGCAGCAGCAGCATCGTGGCAGCATCGTGGCAGCATCGTCGTGCCACACGGTCGTCTGCTGCAGTTGCAACGCAGCGAGCCTGTCGGCCACGACTGTCGCTCGGAGGCGCCACTCGCGCTGCCCGAAACGAATGCGATCCACAGGCCGCAACGCCAGAGATGAGCGGATTTACGAATGAATGAAAACCGTGCAGATTATCGAATACTTGTTTTTCAGAATTAAAATTGAGGAATTCAGAAATTTTTAGTTTATTTTTTCTTTTTTTATACGATTGGATTAAATAGCCATAAACTTTGGTCTGGAATTTAAACAAAATTTTGTTTTTATTTATTTTATTTGAATAACTTATTTATTCGAATTTTTTATGAGGTATTTATTCGCTTATTATTATAATTATTAATTTAATTCTTATTAATTATTAAACATTATTATTCTTATTAGTTTTCAAAATAAAAATGTATAAATTATTAATTTAGTTCTCATTAATTATTAAATATGATTTTTTTTATTAGTTTACAGAATTTTGTCCTCTTTAAATTTTGTATTAATTTTATTTGTTTTGTTTTTCCATATTTTTTAAATAATTTTTAATGGTTTTTTTGTTTTTAGTTAATAAGTTTATTAATTTAACAATTATTATTATTAAATTTATTACAAATTTATTTTTGTATTATTTGAAAATTAACCATTAAACCATAATCTTTCCATAATACAAAAAATTAATTAATTGTAATTTAAAAAAAAAAAAAATCACTGAGTCATGAGTTACTCCATGAATACATTAACAAATAATTAGGGAATATAAAAGACCAGACCATCGAACAGTGGCTTTCCCTTGATATCCTTGCCACAGGAATGCTGTGGAAAGCTTTAGACACAAACACATCCGTGGCTGCAACCGTAATGATTTGTATTTCGCGGGCACTCATTTGCACTCATCATTCGTTCAGAAAACACTCACAAAATGAATCAGTTGCTGTCCAAACGGCCTGCTCATCTCTGGGGCAAACGGCATCCACAGATGGGATCCACAGCGGAGCCAGGTCCACGCCTGCGCAGTGTCCGGGACACCCACGATGCTTGGGGCTCGGCCAGAGCCGACGACGGCAGGGACGAGGACGAGGACCTGTGTGTGTGCTGCATGTGGAACGAAACAGCCGACACAGACAGCAGACAGCAGACGAGTCATTGGCCGAGTTTTGTGTGTGGCACGAGTCGCTTCAGTTTCGTTTAGGATATCGAACACAACGGTTTGGCCCACGGACCAGAGACCCCTCCACTTGACTCCACCCCGACACTCGTTTCGACTGGACTCGACTCTCGATTCGACTCTCGACTCGACTTCCGACTCCGACTCCGGCACGATTCGATTCGATTGGACCCTCGACCAGAGCCAACATCAGAGTGTGCCACTTATTCGGTCTTTGGCCAGCCAGCGCATCGAACACGCGTTGCATTTGGCATTTCGCATTTCGCATTCATTCGGTGTCTCCGTGCCTCACGTGCTTGCCACACGGTGCTTGCTCGGTGTCTCGGTGTCGCTGTCGTCGCGTTCCCGCGTTTGTTGCCCCTCCCCCCCCATCCCCCCCCCCCGCGTGTGTTGGGGCACCACCACCGATTGTTGCTCCGTTTTTTGTTAAGTGCCAAAACAATCAAAATACAAATATCGAAAAGTGCAAAGAAAGTGACTGCAACGACTGCAAGGACTGTGCAAAAGTGTGGCATACTATGATGGGCCTGCCCCAATAAGTGGCATAAGCGTGCGCCAGAGTGCCAGAGTGCCAGAGTGCGAGAGTGTGGCAGTGTGGCAGTGGGAGTCTCTCCATTAAAACTCTAGTAAGCAAATCATTCACACCTGCTGGGGCAGGGGCTGAGGCCAGGCGAACTTTCACTCAATTTATTCGAACTTTTGGCTCTACGGATTTAGCAAAAATCGAATCAGAAGCAGCACAAAATACACAAAAAATTGCTGGCCCAGAGAGGGGGCCGCAGGGACTACGTCTAAGCAAATTAAAAACTTTCTTCGACTGCTTTCTCCCTCTGTCTTTTCTCGTTTGCCATCTGGCGAGACCAGGGCCGTCTCCAAAGAGTTTTGTCACGTCCTTTGGGCATTTCTTTCATACATTTTTTGTCGGTCGTTGTATATTGTATATGCATAAATTCGGTTGATGCCAAAAATCCAGTCGGTCCGCAATAAAAAGTCAAGCAAGGAGGCCATAGACACTCCGCGGGGCCGGGAGCCTATCGGAGCCTCCCACTGCCACTGCCACTGCCACTACATATATTTCTCACTCTCGCAGTCGCAGGCGAAAAATTCAAAAACTCAAACCACGCCCACACGCCGCACCGAAAAAAAAAAACGGCGCTAAGTAGCAGGTAAGTGCGGCAATAAAAATAAATGGCAATCGCGGATCTGCCGCGAAACCGAAGCCAGAACCACCATTGAGACAGGCCCCCATGAAACGCTGAAGAGAACTTGTGGGGGATACCTTTTTTGCGGGTAATCCAAAGGGAACTTGTTGAACATCCCAAGGAATACAAGACCAACCTTCAGGGAACTTTTGGTAGAACCTTTGAAGACCTCAATCGAAGGCCCACAGGCACCCCCGTTCGGTGCCCCTTCCCATGGGTATCCCAAGTCAAGTCCAAGGCTCTGTGGTGCCACATGCCCCGTTACCCTGGCCATTACGCGGCCCAAATGGGTTTCGTTTCGAGTGGGTTACGGGTTACGGGTTACGGCAACACTCAAATGGCCGAATGGGTAATAACTGGGCCTATTCTCTCCTGCCGAGTCCTTGCTGGCCCCCAATGGGTAGGGTTACACGTCTGTCCCACCACCCGCCGGAGCTAAAACGGAAGGATATTCCTTGATTAATAATTTCTATTCGAAACTGATTTTCATTGCGGCCAATGGCAGATATCGCTTTCCTTTTGGCCAACAATTTCCCCACAATAATGAGCAGCAAAATAGATGCAAAACGTCAGTCGAAGAGGCCACGCCATCAAAGGAAATGGCTAAGGACCACGAAAATCCCTCAGCATCGAGGATTTGTTGGGACTTTATTTTTATTTATTTTATTTGGAGTTTGTGGCATATTTCGATTAAATTTATTTCCCACTATTTGTATATATTTTATGAATATTAAAAATGAAAAAAATCGTCATATATTTATAAAATCAAATTTCCCGAAGCTTGGTTTTTTTTTTGGTATTTCTTTAATTGGAATATATTTTATATATTTTTGAGTGCTTTTTACTTCGATGACAAATTCTTTTTCAAATACAGGCAAAATATTTTCTTGTTGGTTTAATTTTTGTTTTGTTTTGGTATTTATTTAATTGAAATATATATTTTATTTATTTTTAAGTGTTTTATATATATTTATATATATTAAAAAATCTCTTTCAAATACAGGCGAAACATTGAATAAAGAAATGAATAAATGTAAAAATGTTTTTTTTTTGTCTTAATTTAATTTTAAAATTTTTTATTTATTTTTAAGTGTTTTATATTTCCGTTTCAAATGCAGGCCAAAATTTTCAAATTACCAAAATTTAATAAATTTCTAAAACAAATTTGCTGGACATTTTTTTTCGGTTTTTTTTTTGTATTTATTTAATTGGAATATATGTAGGTTTTTTTTTTGTATTTGTTTAAAATAAATATACGTTATTTAATTTTAAGTTTTTTATATATTGATTAAAAATTCTCCTTCAAATAAAGGCGAAATATTTTCAAATGAATAAATATCATAAATGTTTTTTTTTTTGTCTTAAATTAATTTTTAAATATTTTATTTATTTGTAAGTGTTTTATATTTCGACTAAAAATTCTTTTTCAAATATTTTCGAGGGAAAAAAATAATTCGGTATTTTAGGCATTTTTGTTGGTATTTCTTAAAACAAATTTTCCACAAATTTTGGTTGTTTTTTGGTATTTATGTGATTAAATTGTATTTTCTATTGGCTTTTCGCTGAGTGTATGAGTGCATGAATATCTTGGCTGAAAAGTTGACCCACATTTTGGCCCCCCCTGGCATGTTTACTCCCCGGCTATTTATGCATCAATCTATGCTCTAAACTGGATATCAATGCGGATCCCGCGTCCTGTTTGCCCGCTCAAATTAGAAATCAGTGCTTTTTGCCCGTCTAATAGCGTCTAATAAGCGGCCATATATCACGGCATTGCCAGTAAATATTATGCTGCTTTGGACACTTTGGCTTCCCCCCCCATGGCCCCCATGCCCCCATTTAAGCATCTCATTTTGTTATGCAATGCCAGAGACCTTCTGCAGCATTTTGCTGACCGGAAACACGGTGAGAGGGGCGGAGGGGGGGGCAAAGGAATGCAGGAAAACGCAATAAACTTGTTTGTATTTGTATTGCACTTATGCGCTGATTGCTTTTCAGCGCAATTTGCTTTTAAGCGACAGGACCTTCGCCAGGACCCTACCACCACAGGCCACATTCGATGGCATTCTGTTCATGGATTTTGGTTAGTTAAGAAGGAGCTGATGGGAGCTGGTGCTCCTCCCGCTCCTCCTTCTGCTCCTCCCGCTCCTCCTGGTGCTCCTCCTTGCCTCATTACAAGACGCTGAACGCAGAGAGCGCAGAATGCAGAGTTTCGTCGAGAAGAAAAACAAACCCTAGAGTCACCTTCCACACGCCCATCCACGTGCGGATAGATCCCATATATCCTGGCCCTCGCTGGCCCTCCCAGCCCCTCCCCATCCCATGTACCAGCTCTCAAATGTCTCTGTCCATGTCCTCCATCCCCCTCTCTCTCTCTCTCTATCTCTCTGGAAACCCCACTTGGGCGCCTGCTACATGTCCTGCCCCATGTCCGTGTTCGCTTCGCTTGTTCATTTTCAATTTCGTTTACAGCATAGAAAATTTCGTAGTTTTTCTTGTGATTTTTTTTTTTGTCTTTCTGTTTCTGTTTCTGTGCTTTCCATTTTATTTCATCTTCATTTTCATTTCAACGACTCCCAACGACTCCCATCCGGCTGGCTGGCTGGCTGGCTGGCTGGCTGGCTAGTTACTTTAAAACGAATCTATCTTTCGGATACGATTTGCCCCCTGCCATTGTAATGGTTTCTGCTGCAAAACGTCACACGCGACTGTCTCTTCATTACGAAACAATTAAAAAGATTAAAAAGCGAAAGGGGGAAAGAGTGGGGCTGGGAGGGGGGGCTGGGGGGCACTTTCATTACAGGCTTTTCACATTCGAGAGCACAGCACAGCAGAGCCCCCAATTGACACACATCTTAATCGAGTGCAAAGCGACACATGGCCACAGATTTGTGTGGCAGCCCCGAGGCACACTGCCACGGTAATGCACAGGGCATGCAATTGGTTGTCTAGCTAAAGCTTTAAGAGGGAGGGCTAGAGAGCCTTCTCATTACTCCCAGAACCCCCAGAACTATCCATAAACATTAAATCCTTGAAGCTATGGAAAAAAGGAAAGATTTAAATGGTTTGGCGGTCCCAGAAACTTTTTTTTTAGTCATATAATAAATTTTGTGTTGATCTAATTTAATTTAAAACATAATAATTGATATATATACCTTCCTGAAAAGGTAATACTGCAGGCTTTATTCCAAAATTGCAATTTTCTTTTGTATTTTTTCGCGTTTGAAGTTGAGAAAAATCCATGCCATGGCTATCAAAGATGCAATCCACATGAAAAGAAATATATACCATGAGTATCTGTATCTGTATTATCTGTATCTTTTAATGAAAGGAGCCCACAGATGGCCTTTAATGCCGGGCTACGCGTCATGCGGCAGCGCCCCTCGGTCGGCCAGCCTCCTGCTGGTGTCACACGTGCCACTTGATGGTGCACTCAGTCTGCGGCTGGTAGTCCTTGTGGTCCTTGTGTATGGCAATACTGCGGCTTCGACTTCACGCTCTAGAATCGCACATTTTCTTTGGTAAATCTTTGCCACGACTCCTCCTTTGTCAATGATACTGCTATTACCCGTCCACCCGTCCACCAGGACATCAGGACATCAGGACATCAGTACATCCTACTCGTGTGTGTGTGTGCAACAATATTTGCCGTGTCTGTGGCAGAGTTTGCTCGTATAAATGTTATTTTCTTGGGCTAATCTGTTGCCCTGTCGCTCTGTCGCTCTGTTTTTCCTGTTCTTTTTTGCCGACATTGTTGCCATAATTTGAAGGGAGACGACTGCTCGAGTTTATATGGGTGGCATGCAACAGAAATTGTTGCGAATTCAATAAGGGAAAAAGCGCAAACGAAACTGGAGAATGGAGAATGTAGCCAGAAGATGAGCATTTCAGTCATTCCAAATTGACATTCTCTTCTGCCCATTTCCGCCGCCATTTCTCTGTCATTCTCATTGCCTCCGCCACCGCCACCGCCTCCGCCCCTGCCCCTGAGGCCGCCCCTGCATCTGAGGCCGCCCCTGTCCTGGTTCTCTTATCCTTTGGCCTCCTTTTCTGGCGTTTCGGTTGCATTTCAGGGTCTCTCTTCCTGTTGGGTTCCCTGGACCCTGTTTAGTACGGGGCATGCCTGCCGCCGGCTTATCCCGGCATTAACGTTGCCGCTTGTGGATGCCACACATGGCTCTGCCTCTCTGCCTCTCTGCCTGTATGAAATATGCAGGGAATGTCGATGCTGGGATTCGGTCTGGAGGATAAGCCTTGCGATCCTCATTTGGTTATTTCTTAACTGATTTTTTTGGAAAGGGAATTTCCACAATTGCCCACGGAGTAGCCTACTTTTTGGTGCCAAGAGGAACGGCCCAGAGAGAGAAACAGAGAGACGGAGAGACACTTATTCATATCCCCCCCCCCCCCACCAGCCGTGGAGCCATGCAAGGACAATTGTCCTTTTTGGCCCAGCTGGGAGTCTGGGTTAAGTGCGGCATTAACAATCAATTACAAGCATTACGAGCCGTAAAACTGACGCATTGACCAAATACCCCCCCCCAAGCCCCCCTCCCCCCCCAGCCCGCGGTGAAGAACAATTGCACGGACTGGACTGGACAGCAGGACAAAAGGGAAGGGAGACAAGGCACGGCATCACTCACACGCACACAGCCACCGGGCAGGCAGGCAGTGAAAAATGTTGCGTGCAAAGTAAAGCCCCCCCCCACCCCCCCCACGGCAAGGGAAAGGAGTGGCGGGCAACCTCAGAGTCTCAGAGCGGTGTCTGAGTTACGGTTTGTTGGCTCGCCATATAATAAGCCCGGGGATATGGCCAACAGAGAGAAAGGAATGAGGCATAAAGGAGGCCCCAGAGGGGTGGCTGAAATATGGCCAGAAGAGAGACAGAGAGAGAGAGCCACAGTGCACGGATCTTTTTCGCTTTTGGGCAGAGGAATATCGCAATGGAACGCCTTATACAGTGC